AAGGTGCTTCGTAGAACTTAGCGCTAAGGGAGAAATAATATTGTGAGGTGCCATGGCGAAAGAAAATTAGCGCTCACATCGATGGGATCGGCTCGCGTTTGCATGGTGGGCATTTTGGTGTACAACAAATTCCATAGTCACTTCCTCCGAGTTTATTGTCCTGATTCATTTCATTTACAAGAATTTTAGAATTTTGTTATTTTAATATTTTGCGATTTTTTCTTAAATATAATTTATTTATAATTATACTTATATTGATAGAATTTTTATTATTCGTCTAAGTGTTTGACAACTTAGAAATGGGTTGTTAAAATTTAAAAATTTTGTGTTTTTGAATTTATTATTTTTAGCGGAATTATGGACTGTCGTTTAGTTCAACTGCCTTGGCTATTGCTCATAGCTGAATAGCCAGAATTTTAGCAGGGATTTATGTGCTTAGTTTTGTCATGTGAAGGAAACAGGTTCAATTAAAAAATATACTTTTTTTATATACACATCGAAAAACCAACAATATAGGTAGAGTCAAAAGGTATGTGTACCGCAAGCCGATACAAAATACCTTTATCGTATCGTTTCCACGACAGTCGGGTCTGAGTAACTGGAACGACCCAGACTTATATCTGTCCATCACTTCATCAACACCCCCCACAAACTCTTTGGTTTCCTGTGTTGCTGTTGTAGCGGCTACAACAACCCCGCCCATATCGGTTAGTCCCTCAATCGTTATCGTCAAGCTCTACTAGCGGTAATCCCTGGAATAGTGCAGCCCCGATGGGGTCTGTCCACAGGGGCAGGGGCGTCAGTAGGGTGGTGTCCAATGGGCAAGCTAAGAGATGCTGCGAATAATGGGGCGTCTGTCCGCATGCGGGGCATTCGTTTAGTACATCTTCGTTTAATCTGCTCAAGTATAAGTTCAACCTGCTGCAGTAACCAGAGCGCAGTTGGACTACTGTGGTCCGAGTCTCCCGAGGCAGACGAAGCTCTGTCTCGTCCACGTCTGGTGATTGTATGCCCAGAACAGCATTCACAGGTCGGAGTCTACATAACTCGAGACTGTCTGTTGTTGTTGTTGTAGCACCTAAAAATGCAACTGGGACTCAAACGGTGATCGAGACTGCCCCTCTGTGTATGGCGTTCAAGGCCTGTCGATAAGCTGTCGGGTCCCGAGGTTGTTCGTAGAGAGGCCTTCCGACATGCCTGGGCGAGAGCTCTTCAGCAATCAGTTGTCTATTTGGGTGACCTCGTTTGTGGCTCCCAACTAGAAACTGCTTGCAGAGCATTGTGTTATGCAGCTTTACCGTGAGCATATGGGCCTCATCTTGCAGGTGATGTTGCGACGACCTCAAAAGGCATCCTGTCGCTGTACTGAGTGTCGTGTTTTGGCAGGTCTGCAGATTCATCCACTGCGTCCTACTAGTTCCCGGCGACCACACTGGTGCTGCGTAATTTAAAACCGGCGGGCCTATTGCCTTGTATGTTGCCAGCAAGTACTGCCGGCTAGCGACTTGAGGACCTTGTTGCGGCTCTGTACTTTATTGACAATAGCGGTTGCGTGCGCAGAGAAGTAGAGCAGACTGTCCAATGTTACTCCGAGTATTTTGGGGTTATTCACCGTCGGAATTGGTGTATCATCGACGTGAATTCCCAGCGGTAGCCTAACTTCCTTCGTCCAAGTGGTGAACAAGGTCGCAGAGGATTTAGTAGGGAGAGGGCTAGGCAATTTGCAGTGAAGAAGCGAGAAAGCTAGGAGAGGTCCCCGTTTACTTTCGAACACAAGCCATCAATTCCATTCCCAGTCGCCATGATTGAGCAATCGTCGGCGTAAGAGACAGTCAAGACTCCCTCTGGTGGTTGAGGGAGCTTTGAAATATAAAAGTTAAACAGTAGCGGGGAAAGGACACCACCCTGTGGAACCCGCTTTTTTTATTTTTCTGAGTTTGCTCGATTTGTCTGTAAACATTACCGACGAGTATCGACCACTCAAATAATTTGCCGACCACCGTTTGAGCCTCTGTGGGAGAGACGAACCCTCTATATATTCTAGTAGCGTGGAATGGCTGGCAGTGTCAAACGCCTTTGACAGGTCCAACGCTACTCGAATAGTTCTCTCACAGGGACGGTTGCGGTTAAGGCCACGAGTTATCTGAGTATTTATGGCGTTAAGTGTTGTTGTTGGACTGTGCCTTTTACGGAAACCATGCTGATGCTTTGCTGGGGTCAGGTGGTTCGTGAAATGCGGAGGGTAAAGGAGTGTTATCAGTCGATACGACTCCTCCTCGATCTCCTTTGTTGGCTGGTTTCCCTGGTTTGACAGTGGGACCACTCTTCCCACCTTCCAGATGTGTGGGATGATAAGAGTGGCCATTGACAAATTGAGGACCTCCGTTAGGTACGCTTCTCCCGCAGGACCCGCATTTTTCAGCATCAACATGCATATTCCGTCCAGACCCATGGCTTTGGAGACTTTCGCCTTTCCGATGGCCACCTGAACTTCAGCGGAAGTGAAAGCAAGGGGGGCACAAGTTGTTGGCAGTTTGTGCAGCCTTCTGGTCACTCGACGCTTGGCTTTGTCCACCGGAGCATGCAGTATGAACTGCCGGCTAAAATTGCTCGCGCATCGCTCCGGGCCCGACGAAGCATGGTCCCCGAAAAAATTTCGACCCTGTCATCATGCTTCGTCGGATTGGACAGTGACCTCACGGTTGACCAAAGCTTACTCACACAGTGGTGAAGTTACAGGTCTTCAGATGCTCTTCCCACTTCTTCCGCTAATGTACGTTCACTAGTTGCCGAATCTCCGCGTTGAGATCCTTGATACGGGGATCTCCGGGATCGACCTGACGAAGGCTGTCACGCTCATCGGCTAGAACAGCCGCTTCAGCAGGGAAATTTGGGCGTGGGTCCGTTATGCATCCTGCAGGTACGAAGCGAGCTGCAGCAGCGGTGACAGCCCTACGGAACTTACTTTCACCAAGGAGGACGTCGGTTGGTGTGGGGAGCGCAGTGAAGGTGTTTTCAGTAAATTCCGCAAAGCCTTTCCAAACAGCTTTACAAAAGTTCCGGTCCGGTGTTCCGCGGGAGCAAAGTCGGTTGGTTTATCGATCGAGATGACTATGGGCAGATGGTCTGATGCCAAAGTCAGCATAGGTCGCCATGATACGCTGTTTATCAGACCATCGCTGACTATTGTTATGTCTAGCGAGCTGCAGCAGCTGTCCATAATCCTGGTGGATGCGTTGTCGTTCATTGTGCAGAATGTCAAATCGTCTATCTGCTCAGCCAAGTCTGTTCTCCTACGATCGTTTGACAGGCTTGAGTGCCAAAGATCGTGGTGCGCATTAAGGTCACCTACTACCATACGGTTTTCACCTCTGAGGAGCGCACCTATATCAGTGTGATATCCTGCCGGGCAGCAGGTGACAGGGGGTATGTACACATTAAATATTTCGAGCTCAACATCGCATGACCGGATAGCAATGCCCTGACATTATAGGGAGGAATCCCTGCGGTCTATGTCTGCTAGAATAAGACGATACTGCACGTGTAGTAATGCGGGGTGTGAGAGATGTGTGTGGCCTTGACGCCATTGGCTGTTGCGTGCTGTGGTGGTTGCCGCCCTGTGGTGGTAGTGGGTGGCGTCGCAGTTGGGTTTGGCGACCGTGCAGCGGAACACGGGCCCTCGAAATTCCTCAATTCCTCATGCCCTAAAGTGGCACCAGCCAAGGCAGGTGTTGCACTTGACTGATGTCACATTACGGAATATCCTGGCCTGACATACCGTGCAGATTGTAGGAGGAACCAGGAGTTGTTGGCGGCGGCGTGTGGGTGGTAGTGCGGTTGTGTATGTTCTCTGGTCTGTCGTGGTTGTGGTGTGGTCTATTGTGTTGTTATGTTGTGGTGCTACGGTGTTTGTGTGGAGCTGCTCAGCTTAACTGGGGTTAGCCGTGTAGGCCACAAACGACGTAGTCCACTGCCGATGTGTCCGTAATCCTCAGCAGAGGAGACTCCACCCCTCGCAAGCATTGCACTTGACTGAGGTGGAGTTGTGATATAGTCGTCTCTGGCATACACAGCAGGTGTAAGTTTCTGGCTGGGGGTTTGACTCGATGCCAGCCCTGAGCAGAAGAATACGTAGCAAATGTAGCCCTATGGACGAACAACTTCTAAGTTGCATACGTACAAAGAAAAAAGGTGACGTAACGCCGAACTTCTAAGTATTGACAATGTATACTTTTCCAAAACGCATCCGAAAAGTTATCGAAACGCATCGCTAGAGCAATCAGAGCATCAACAGCCCAGGTAAAACCCGATCATTCCGGTACGTAGAACCGACTTGATGCATTTCTGAACACAACCGCTTCCTTTTCGACAAACTTATATCACTATTTTAACCCTCTACTTTTTTTCCTGTGTAGTAGGTTATACTGATTCATTATCTTGTTTTATGTAGATCTACCGCTTTTCCTTATACTAGAAAAACCTCAAAAGTCCTAAGAAATACCTAAAAAATACCTAAAAAAATAAATAAATTTTAATGATAGCAGTTTCTCCGAGGCGCCCGTTTGTCTTGAAAAGAACCACACGGAACTTTATCCTTAGAAAAATTGCTAAAGTTTTCGCAATCTTACAGCTTACCGGCTAGACGAAACACTATAAAGTTCCCATAATAGTCGGGTCTGCGTGACGACTCGGATTTATATCTGGCCAAGAACTTGTCACTTTCCCCAAAAATTCTTTGGGAAATTTTCATGATGTTACAACCATTACTTACAGGCTATAAATTAAAAATTTTATTCCATACCATCTTATGCTGTAAACAAGGCATAAACAAGGCCTTGGCTATAAACAAAAATTTATATTCTACTTTTTGTTTAGTTGTATTTTCATATCAAATACCACCATACCACTCAATTCCTTAACAAAAAACTTTCTTATATATGTATATACATATATAAATGTATATAAATTAAAAAGTATTCAATTATAAAAAACACGCTGAATTAAAATTAATGTTTTCTATATTTATAAATTAATATTCATTAAAGTAGCTTATTCGATTACTAAACATTTTTAATAAAGTTTAAAACTATTACAAAAAATACCAAATGATAAACATAACATAGATATACATATGTAAATCGGACAAAGCCGAATTAGCGACGATATGAAAAAATAATGAGATATTTTCAAGCCGACGCAAACGCTGCCGTTAGTAATTATGGCGAGCAGTAGGAGAGTTGTTAGGTACAAAAATACTTGTATACAGAACGGTATGTGCAGAATCGTATGTAGGTGAACTAAAAACTATCCTAGCATTCCATGGCAAGCGAGTTTGAATTTTCATTAAGTGCATTAACACCATTTTCAATTGGCATATTTAAGCTATTTTCATCGCAAGCTGCCTCTGGTGTATCCATTGATTCGCACCCTCCGCCATTGAACCCATTACCATTCGCACCTATTGCCGCCGCTTTTGCCGATGTTGAAGCACCATCATCCATATCAGACATCGCATGCGCATTTAATTGGCCATTGCCATTTAACAGTCCATTCGAAGGTGTGTCATCCCAGTTTATTTTGAAGCGGGTTATACGCGGCTTTGTTGCTAATATATTACGTGTAAGTTTGTCAAACAAAGGTTTAGGTGGCGGGTTTTCACGCATTTCGGGATCAGCATAGTCATTGTTGATGAAGTAACCAACGCGTACAAACTCCTGACCACGATATGAGCAAGTAAGCAGCACTATTGTCACGCCAACAGCATCTTGTTCGGGAATTTTCGTCACATCGGGTGGATCTGCTTGAAAGACAAATATGTGACGGCCTTCCGGCACGGGTCCTACGTATATTGTGTCCAACACTTGATCATACTCCTCCGACTCGGCAGAGCCAACATATATCATTTTCCATTCCAAATCCTCTTTCAACTCCTCAATACACTCGAAAGTTAACTCAAATTGAAAAGGATTGAAAAAACTGCTGGGATTGTCCAATACGACCACGTTTGTAATATGTACTTTTGCCATGGCGTTCGCAGACGACAGAGGCAGAAAATTGCTTCAAAATTTACGTATTTTAATTATTCGTTTTATCCGCCTTTAAAATTATAGAGATGAAATAATATTTATTTGGTTTCTTCAACTTTTAAACGACTTTTGTCTAAATTTTTTAACTCAGTCTATGGCGAAATTTTCACTAAGCACAAAAGCGATGACATTTCCAATTGCCTCTGACTTTCCCGCCAAACAAATTCCAGTGGAAGGTTAACGCATCATAATAGAGTGCTGCCAGTATGTTGTATTGTGGCCAAGGCGCATCAATTACAGGTGATAGCGATAGAAGCTATGCTTCTTCTTATGAGCACGCTTGTGTCAAATTATCGTCTGTTTTGCTTTATTTACATATCCGCGTACACATACACATATACGTATATATATACCCTGCAAACAAATGCTCCCGAAATCTTTAAGTGTCGGAAATTTGTTACGATTCTTTTAGAAATCTGTAAAGAAAAACATATGAAGCGGTTGACAAGAACTAGTAAAGAAATTTCTGTATGATTTCTTAAAGAAAATTCTTAAAAAAATTGTGAAACCTTTCAGAGTTCTATGAAATCCTGGTATGCAGGGTATACATACACACACGAATATGAATAGATAAAGAAGATGTTGATGACACAAGGAGTTCATACCAACGGTAAATGTTGTTTTTGTACGATTGCTACAACCTGTAGTTGTTGAATCATGTATTGTGGCGAATCATGTGTGGCGAATACTGCGGCAACACAAAGCGAACAACGAGAAATAGGCAGAATGTTCGAGGAATGACGTAGAATGTTCCACAAAGAGAAACGTCAAGTTGGATGAACACTGCGAACAGCGAGAGAAAGAGAATGAGCGATAAACTTCAGAACGTTCTAGAGTTGCCATAAGTGTGAGCGCAGGTATATAAGAGCCACGACACAGCGGAGTGGGGACAGTTACAAGTCAGCAAGCTACAAGTAAAGTGAGCGGAGAATCGAGTTGCGAATAAGCAAGCTATAAGTTTAATTTTGTTAACAAGTAGTAAAGCGTTGTTATTGCTTTAACAAGTATTGTAAAGTGTTTTTACTGTATTAGCAAGTATTGTAAATTGTTTGTTGTACAATAAAGTTAATTGTACTACAATTTGGTCATTGTTAGCATTTATTTAACAATCCAGCGATACGAGCCCGAGTATATTTGGGAAATCCCTCAAGGTTTCGAGGATAATCGTAACAATTGGTGTCAGAAGTGGGATTGTTAAATAAATCCCGAAGGATAAACTACTGAAAATGGCGAAAATTCAGGACTTAAAGATTGAGGAACTGAAACAGGAGTTGGAAAAGCGTAATTTGGCCACCTCCGGAAGAAAAGTGGAATTATTATCCCGTTTGCGGGAGGCTATGGAAGCTGAAGGCATCGACGTGGACAAATACGACTTCCAGGGTAAATCCGACGATGCATCCGCAAAGGACGAACAGAAGGATGAGGCTGCTTGTTCGTCGAAGGATGTGCAGCAGACATCCGGGAAGGTTGAAGAACAGCAAAAGTCTCCAAGTTCATCAACAGCTATGGACATGAACACGTTATTGGCTACCATGTCACAGATGTCATCTCAGATGCAAACACAGTTGTCAGATATTTCGTCGCAGCTACAGGCACAGAAGACACACGTATCACAGTTGCTGGAAGTCCAGGATGCAAAGATTACACAACTGCAGGAGAATTTGGCTAGAGATAACGAACAAATCAAGGATAGACAGGATAAAGTCGAGGCTAAGGTAGAAGAGTTGGAAGGTCGCCTCCGAGATATCCAGTTTGAGAAGACAGCTACAGCAAATCACTGGAGCATGGAGGATAAATCCGCTGCACTGTTCGTTGCATTAAAAGGACCTGCAGCGGAAATCTTGCAGACTATTCCTGATTGTGAAAGGAACAGTTACGATGCGTTAATGGGTGCAGTGGAAAGACGTTATGGTAGCGAGCACAGGAGACAGATTTACCAGATGGAGCTGGAAAATCGCAGCCAGAAATCCAACGAGACTCTACAGGAATTCGCCTCCGAGGTTGAAAGGTTGGCTCATTTGGCAATTGGAGATGCATCTGGTGAGCACCTCGAAAGAGTAAAAATCCAGAGGTTCATAAACGGAATGCGGGACGTGTATACCAAGCGCGAGACGTATGCAAATCCAAAGGCAACATTTGCTGAAACGGTCTCGTATGCTCAGACACGTGAAACGGCAGCGCTCCTAAGTAGACCAGCCTACAAAGCCCATCGAGTAGAAGTGGAAACACCTGACGTGATGAACGAGATCCTGAAAACACTCAAGTCGATGGCAGGGAAGAATACTCCTGGTGCAACCGAGAGGAAGGATGGTGCTAGAAAATGTTTTAGTTGCGGAAAACCAGGCCACTTCGCACGCGAATGTAAGACGGGTTCCAACAGTTCAGCAGTACGTAAACGCAGGACTGAGGATGACGAGCCCAACTCCGACCAGTCGTTAAACTAAAACGAGCCAGCAGCAAGGGGCGCACGCTGGCTCCCGCAATTGAATGCCCCATAATCTCCGTCTCGCGAATTGGCAGAAAAGCGAGCAACGTTACTGTTGGTGGATATGTGGACGGACATGAGCGAGTACTAACTGTGGATACGGGCGCATCACATTCCATCATTCGATCTGATTTGGTCACTAAAGAGGTAAGGCCATTACCTGGAGCAAGGTTGAGGACAGAAACTGGTGAGTACACCCAAGTTGTAGGGGAGGTAACATGCAAAGTCGCAATAGGGAATGTGACGGTGTTACACAAGTTCATAGTCGCGGCGATTATGGATGAAGTCATCATTGGATTAGACTTCATGCTTGATCAAGGTATGAAGATCAACATGAAGAACAGGATTATGACGTATAACAACATGGAAGTGCCCCTTCGGTTTGGGTATGATGGTCCATACAGCAGCAAGCGAGTGATCCTAGAGGAAAGCGAGCAGATTCCACCGAAGTCAGAAGCAGTTGTGTGGGCAAAGATTGATGGAGATTGTGGGACAAACAAATTGTGGGTTGTTGAAGCAACACAAAATTCTACACCGGACGTACTTATTGGTAAAACCTTGGCTAAGACGCAAAAGGATGGACGCATCCCAGTTCGAGTGCTCAATGAGTTCAAGTCACCAGTCAAACTCCGAAGAGGAACTGTACTGGGGCAATGTCGAGAGCTAGAGGCAATCTTCAACTCCGAAAAGTTACCTGAAAGCGATTCCATTGGCGAGAATGACATTGCGGAAGACATTAATGCATGGACGGAAGGGTTGGAAGAAAAATACCAGCACAAGGCTAAGGAACTTCTCCGAAGATACTGCAACATATTCGACAAGGATGGCGACAAACCAGGCAGGACTAACGTTGTGAAACATCGCATTGATACTGGCGATGCAAGGCCAATCCGTCAAGCTCCTCGGAGTGTTCCACTTGCCAAACGTGAAACTGTTAGCCAAATAATAAACGAAATAAGCGAGAGTGGTGTGATTGAACCATGGAGTCCATGGAGTTCGCCGGTAGTACTTGTACTTGAAGAAGAAGGATGGTCAAATGCGGTTCTGCGTAGACTACCGGAAACTAAACGATGTGACGAAAAAGGACAGCTATCCTCTTCCCAGGATCGATGACACTCTGGACTCGTTGACTGGAACAAAGTGGTTCTCAACACTCGACCTTAAGAGCGGTTATTGGCAAGTGGAGGTAAGTGACGAGGATAAGGAGAAGACAGCTTTCAGCGTTGGAGAGGGTCTGTGGCAATTCACGGTGATGCCCTTTGGATTATGCAACGCTCCTGCCACTTTTGAACGACTTATGGACCATGTGCTCAAAGGACTGCATTGGAAAACATGTTTGGTGTATCTAGACGACATTATCGTATTGGGTAAAATCTTAGAGGAACACCTGAACAATTTGGAAGAAGTTTTCCAGAGGATAGCTGGCGCTGGTCTGAAGCTAAGTCCTAAAAAGAGCTCACTGTTCAGGAAGGAGGTGAACTACTTAGGGCACAAGGTGACAACGGAGGGCATCTGTACTGCGAAGGAAAAGATAGAAGCAGTAAAGGATTGGCCAAGACCTAGGAACCTGCACGAACTACGAAGTTTTCTTGGGCTATGCACCTACTACCACCGATTTGTTCCGAATTTCGCCAGCGTTGCTAAAAGCCTCCACGAGCTCACTAGGAAAAATAGAGCCTTCGAGTGGAACAAGGAGCAGGAGGAGGCTTTCCAGACTCTGAAGGAACGACTATGTACTGCACCTATGCTAGCGTATCCCGTTCCAGGTGCAACGTTTATTTTGGATACGGATGCTAGTGGTTATGCCATAGGAGGCGTACTGTCGCAGGTAATTGATGGGCAGGAGAAGGTAGTTGCCTACTATAGCCGGTCGATTGGAAAACCAGAGAGGAACTACTGCGTAACTCGGAGAGAACTACTAGCGTTGGTGGACTGCGTCAAACATTTCCACAAGTACCTCTATGGGCAACGTTTCCGAGTTCGAACGGACCATGCAGCGCTGAAGTGGCTACTACAGTTTAAGAATCCAGAAGGACAGCTAGCTCGGTGGATTGAGAGACTGCAAAGTTATGACTTCGCTATTGAACACCGCAAGGGAAGTGTCCACGGTAATGCTGATGCCATGTCCCGCCGACCATGTAGCCTGGAATGTAAACACTGCTCAAAAGCTGAGGGAAAAGAGGACATTATAGACGTCCGTCTAACGACAATAACACCAGCGGAAGAGTGGAAGGACGAACAGCTACGAAAGTGTCAGCAGGAAGATCCAGATCTAGAGCTTTTGATGCATGGACTGGAGGTGGACAGGAGGCCAACTAAATAGCAAATGGCAGCGGAAAGCCCCATCGCAAAGGCGTACTGGGCACAATGGAACAGCTTAAAATTAATATCTGGCTGTTTGCATAGGGTATGGGAAAGCGAAGATGGCCAGTGCTCCCGCAACCTGATAGTAGTTCCAAGGGTAAGAATTCCGGATGTACTCAAGGAATTCCACAATGGTCCTAGTGGAGGGCACCTGGGAATCACGAAGACCCTGGAGAAGGTTAAGCAGAGGTTCTATTGGGTTGGTTGTCGGCAATCGGTCGCAGAGTGGATTGCTAACTGCACGGAGTGTATTGCAGCTAAGGGGCCGAAATCCAGAAGTCATGGCCAGATGAAGCAATATAACTCGGGTGCACCTTTCGAGCG